GAGGCCAGCTGAACTGCTCTTCGAAGTGTTCGGCCCATCTCTCCAGTCGACGTTTTTGCGAGTGAATTAATGAGCCATCTTTCTCACTTATCGTTTCGCTGACCGTTGCTCTCCTAGGGCCAATCGATCGTATCAGTTGATAAAGGGCACGGCTGTTTCCGTAGCAGAAGCCTTTTCCATCTCCCTTCGATTCGATATCCACCAGAGCTGATTTGGACTATCGGTCGTTCATGCGTGTTGTTCGCCGTAACGGTCGCCTTCTAATCGCCAGACACAACATTCTCCCGAGCTTTCGATATCCACCAGAGCTGATTTGGACTATCGGTCGTTCATGCGTGTTGTTCGCCGTAACGGTCGCCTTCTAATCGTCAGTGATAACACAACATTTGCATGAGCTGCGTACGTCTGAATGGCAAGTGTACGCTGAAAACCGATAATCATATCCCCAGAAGGCACATCAGGTGTTTGGCTTGTTGAGGTGTTTTAGGTCCTCCTTGAAAAAATCCGCGACTATGTCGGGAAAAAATATGGAACGGATTTAATATGTGATGATACACGGGTCCTATGCGAAAAACTGAGCCGCGTGGATTACACAGGTTGTCATCCCCATGGTATCCGAGGGGTATTGCACTCATTTAGACCCCGGATGTCTGATTCCGATTATTGTAGTTTGAATGCTATGTCGTTTACTTCCGTCCACAAGCGCGGTTTGTTTTCGCAGTACGATTATGATATTTAGCCAAATTCGAAGTATCAGTGTAACGGACGTAGTACCCACCAACAGGATCCGGTAATCACCTACTGTAATGGTGTCCGTCGGAGTGTGTTCTACTTGTTTATCCGAAGTGAGTCACAGGAGTATTATGATGTTGCATTGGAAGATTTTGCACGAATGCGATCCCCGGTGAATATTGCTCGAACGACTGTGATTGGTAAGGATAAGTCACAGTCCTGTAGCCTGAAGGTAGCAAAGCCCAACGCCGCTGTTGTTGTTTGTTCTTTTCATGTATTACAAAGCTTCAAAGCCAGGATTAATAAGCTTAAGGAAGTGGCTCGTTCGGATAAAGAGGTTTTGTTTACCTGGCCCAAAAGAATGGTGCACTGTAGGGAAGTGAGCGTGTTTGAGGTTTATGCCACAGCATCAGAAGCCGGAACCGGGAGTGCTGGTCGTATCTCGGCGAGCATTGGTTAACCAACCCGATTACTTGAACAAAGCCTGCTCGGAAGCATGCTGTTGCTCTTGGTAATGGAACCGCTAACCGGGTCGAATCTGCAAGCATGTACATTAGGTAAAAACTTACCGAGTCTTCCTCGTTGCTCACCTGTGTTCAGGCCATAATTAACGGCAATGAGCAATTAGAAGCCCATTACAAAAGATTAGTAAGCGTCCCACTTGTGCGTGGCCAACCACAAGATGCGACGGTGCCATCTCATTCAGAGGAGCGAGATGGCCCAAGAGATTAGAGCGCGAATTTACTGACCGGAAGGTCCGTGGTTCGAACCCGAACTCTGCCTCTCGACTTCCCCTGTCAAGGCTTGGGCAGCCTGGCAGTATCCAAGCCCTCGTCCTTCCTTCGGGTGGCATGGTAGCTAAGCATTGAAAGGGTGCTACGGCTGGACGATTATTATTGTCTCATTTAGAGTGTTTGGGCCGGCTAACACCATACGCCCGGGAAATGGTTCGTCCAACCACAGAAAAAGTGTGGAGTTCACCCGCAGTACACAATCGTACCTGGTTTTTCGCGACGGCGGTCAGCTAAAGTTGAGAGAACCCTTTACGAGCTCATGGTTGTTGCTGTGTCGTCATGTTGCCCTTGCTGCCGAGTACCATGGCCAGGCGCTGATTCCGTAGGATGAGGCTAGCAGGTGACTGTTGCCACTGATCGACCATCAGCTACTGTTTCTGATAATAGTGTATTGGTACAGACTGCCCCTAAAAGCAAATAATCTAAGCTGAGTGTTTTGCTCGAAATATCTCATTGGATATTTGTTAGGCAGTGGTCCGCCTGGGTTTGTCTGATTTCGATGCTTGCTGTCGCTCCTTGCGAACGTTTGCTGAGCAGGTTTGCGCAGATCCTGTGCGAAGCTGCGTGTTATCTACGGAAGGTGACACAGGAGCACCAGGGATCGAATTGCTGGCATCCATATTTTTGCGTCCGTAAGATATCCTCGCTATCCGTAAACGCGCCTGTGAGATGCAACGATCAACATAGCACCACCAACGCCACCACACGCAGGCGCGGCTGGAATAGTCCTTTCCCGTTTCACGAGGACATTATGACTGGGCTGGACGAGACCTTCGATCTGCGAGATGACAACTATTACCCGCTGTGTATAAAGTTGCCTGATCACAAGATGCAAACCACCGCGAAGTACAGCACCACGACAATGCGCCGTGATGAGCCAATGGTGTCGCATATTGACGCTGACATCTGCGATTCATCTAAGAGCGCCTGTGAGGGGTCGATGATGGCCTGAGTGCAACGCGACCATTTTCACGCTTGGTTGCATTGCAGTTGCATTGGCAGCTCGCCTGACCGACTCTTTGCCCTATAGGAGATTAGTATAGCCGGATATCAGAGTGAGTCCCCCAGTTAAATGCGATTGGAAGGACATATTTGTCATGTCCTGTTGAATGCGTGGGTGGCGGGTGGGTTTTTCCTGCCATAAAATCCGTCCCCTTTTCAAGGTGCTGCGGTGGTGGCAACCAGTATGCGTCTTCCACGCAGGCTGGGAGAGCGGGGCTCTGGTCATTTCTGTTAGGTTGCCTCCTACTAATTCTTTTTCCATTTATGTTCCGGAGAACGTTTTTGTTGATTCTGTTAGTTGCTTGCAATCAATCACAATGAAAGTTTTTCCCAACAAATCGCTTCATGTTCCCTGATAACACAAGCATCAGGGCAACCAGGGCATTCAGGCCTCGCTTTTAAAACAAGCTTGCATAGGTGAGAAAAGGGGACGTAATTTTCCTGTTTCGTATATACCTTCGGAGTGGTTTCCAAACGTAGTGTTTCTAGGACAACGTGGGAATTTTCCGGCAGAATATTTTTAAGGGTTAATGCAGGAACTGTGCAGGCTACATCTAGCTGGGACACTGCCTATGCTCCTCGAATGCTTCAGTTCAAATGTTTTACTCGTGCAACAAAAAACTCCATTACACTCATGAAAAATAAATGTTATTCAAGCCAGAGATTTAGGATACATGTGCAGCGTTGACTTGTGAGCTCGTCAGTTGTTACTTACATGGTATGTAGAATCGCTAAATCATGCAAGCCATACTCGTCCAACACGTAACAAGCGCGCTTTGGAGGCAAGAGGTAACCGTCACTAACTGAAGGTAGGGTTTCATGGTAATCGATGTGGAAAATGGAAGGGATGCTTTCCAGCCGAAACTGAGTTACCAAGGTTCCACGCCAACAACCGTGACATAAGTAAACAAGCGAAGCAGGTAATGTTGACTAAACGCCCCAGCAATTTCTCTCATTTCTTCTGGGTTTTCAAATGATATGTAACCCTTTATTTGTGTCCACATAATGCTTTGCGTTAAAGGGTGAACTACCAGAAATAGAAAATCGGTGACCAGCTCTGGCATAAACGCGGACACCATCGTTAATTCGTTCGCCGCGAAAAATGCATTGATAGTTCCGTCCTAATAAATAATATTTGGGGCGGTTCCTGTACCCACTGAACACAATCCGCATGACGCATGCCCCTCGGGATGTGCATTTGGGGTAACACATACTATTGCACGTGCTATTCGTTTCTATCGAGAGCCTAAATGTATCATAACAAGTGAACTATGATTAGCGAAAACAGTGAATACGCCAGCAATACATGCTAAACATGGGTTATTCTAATTACCGAATTTTGTTACCGACATTAGGCAAACATATCATCGATCTTTCGTGATACCATACATTTAGGGATAACATGGACACTTGTCAAAAGCAAACCATGTTAAAGCACTGGGAACTGAGTATTATCTATCTTCACTGCGTTTGGGAATCTGTTACCAATGCTAATTTTTATTAGATACAACCCCATTATAACGCTTCGTTTAAGAGGTTCAATCACAAACCTTAAATCCGTCAAGTCACTATTTTTGGATGTTCCCACCACATAGCTTTCAGCCAATCAGAATGGGAATGACGCCGCGAGTCACCTGATTGCCTAGCCACCACACGAGTGCATATGTGCACTCGTGTTAGCACGCGTCCGCTCCTGGGTGCAGAACCTGTGCGGAATCTGTGCAGAACTTCTGCACTGATTTTTGGCTTTTAAGCCGCGGAAGATTGAGACGTTTAATAGGCATCAAAGCTTCTTTATTTGTCTTACAGTAATAAAAAACCACAATACTCTGCATTTCCGAGTGCCTACGAAATGCAAACTGTCGGCCCATTTAAATGGTTCTGTTTTAGTGTGCGGCGCCATTGCTTGCGGGAAGCTCTGCGTTCTGCTTGTCCTCACGCATGACTGAGAGTGAGTTTTGTTGTGCTTTCATATGCTTTATTCCTGGTGTTTACGTGAACGAAACCGTAAAACGTCTTTTCATTTCAAGTAATCGTCAATGCGCCCGAAATTTGTTCGTGTTGCTCGTTAGGGCTGTTCAAGAACAATGCTATATAAGAAAGTACGACAGGCGGTTGCGGCAAGTGGCTGTTTTCGTTGCCCGACTGATGAATGCGTCCATGATGCCTTTAGTCGACTATCTGAGGGTACGATTCATGAGTAATCAGATGATAGGTTCTAGATATGCCGCATTTGACCGTCCCAGGGGATAAACTAGGCTGCGAATTACCACGATGTTCGCCGGCAGTTTCCCCGATCCCCTGAAACAGAAAGACATTCACGACTGCGGTCCCTGGAGAACCTTTCGGTTCCTGCTTTTTACCACGGAGTAGCCCACTGCAAGTCGTTGAAGGCGTCAGCTCGTATTTTCTGCGTACACTCATATTGCTTTTCATCAGTATCCTTTTTAAACCATTCAAAACCAGGTAGAAGTATTTTAACGGCTGTTCGTCGGATGGCGCGAAGGCTGAATCTACCATTATCCGGTTTAGCCGTTCTGTTGGACGAACTCAGGTGCCTTTTTCGTCTCTTCCGGCGGGTCCACGTAATGAAAACTCCCCGTCGTTGCTGCGTGCGACAGAAGGCCGGTGGGATGTACATCCACCTTGGTCTGCTGCAGGTCTGCTGCAACAACTC